GAGATTTGCTTCTCATATATGGGAATATAATTCAGTTTTCCATTTCAATTAGCCTCATAATTCAGTTTATCCAATTGTGTATATGCCCGCCGATAATTTCAGTTGTTCCAATTTTATATCCCATAGATTACAGTTTTCCAAATTTTAATATCCCATTATTCAGTTTTCCAATTTAATAATCCCATTATTCAGTTTTCCGAATTTGATATCCCATTTATTTCAGTTTTCCAATTAATAGTCCATGGTATTTCAGTTTCCGGTAAAGCTTGAATATGTCCGATTATTTCAGTTTTCCAATTCAGTTTTTTATAATTCAATTTCAACAAACATTTGAAAACTGAATTCAGTTTGAAGTTAAAACTATTAAATTCAATTTGTGCTGGCACGAAAGTGACTGAAGCTCAAAAGTAGTCAAAAACAATAAAAATTCATTTTTCATTTCAACACATTGTTTTGTTAATAAGATGTATTTCCTTGCCTTTTCTCCATATCTGTTTTATTTGCAGTAAAATGGTTGAATCTCAGTGTGTCTCTCTGTCTCTCTGCTGCTCTCCCCTCAGAAACGGAGGACCCCAGCGCTGTGCTTTGTCTCTACAAGACAGACAATGACTGTGTCATGAAGTTCACGTATTCTGAGCACGCCAGCGGACAATCCATCCTCACAGCTCTAAAAGAGCCAGGTCAGTGCTCCGAACAACAACACATTAGCTATTCTCTCCTTTCTAACCGCACTGGTTTTTACGTCAGAATGGGACACCTGCTAGGAAACAACTGCTTTTAGATTGTATTTATGGTGTAAAGGATCTCAAGATCAAGGATCACAACTTTTCAAGATTATATCATTATATCTCTTCATAGCATAGACTCAGACTCTACACAGACTCATAACTACATGTCTGCACACTGCCTTGATGGATACCTGCTGCCTAACGTCAGCCACAGATTCATTATTCTCTCTGGCTCATATTCTGAAATGTTGTAGCATTTCATGAGTCAGGGCAAACTTGAGGAACTGTTTTAACTTTTTAAAGGGGAGGAGCTTTAATATTAGCACCCATCATGATTCCGGTTTATTCCACCGTGGGTCTTCTTTTCATAGGACCATCATTTCTATTGGTTTTGGTGAGATTTAGATCTGGAAACATCACTAAAAAGATGGCTCATCTACTCGTTTTACGATTGAGATCAGATTTAAATGTATGACTTTTCAGAATACCCTGGGCCCTATTTTAATGACAAGCACAGCGTCAAGTTAGAGGCGGTTGGTCACCCAGACTGTGTGGGCGTACAGGCTGGGTGCAGTGGAATGTAATCAGAGGGTGTGGTAGTCAATAAATATGCTCTCAGCCAATCACATCACTGGTCCCATCTCCCCTCAAACACTTAGAGTCACACATGATGACAAGCCCAACAAATAAAGAATCTTCTCCAGGAAGTATAAACACACAGTTGTTAACTGTTAATTGGTACAATGACAAAACAAACAAATAAATATAAACTACTTCTGTCCTAATCTCACATGGGAAATTAGTTTCATACAGCATTGCTTGCACTGTAATGGATTTTTTTTTAAACTGCAAAATAGTTGGTAAAGGCTGTCATGATGAGGTAATCCCACGTTTCCCACATACGCAGATAGAATACTGAGTTATAACAGAGCAGTCTGGTGTGTGGGTTTATTTTGTACCTAAATGTATCAACATACAGTGTTGTGGCCTTCAGATAGCTGCAGGGGTTTAATAAACTGAAGGAGAAACTTTAATGCAGCATGAAGCAGCTGTGCACAACAGATACTAGAAGTATGTACATTTGTAGATGAATGCAGACTGCTTCACTGGCATTTTGCTTTAAGCTATGATTTTTTTAATGCATATTTAAACGCAGTGACGGGTTGGCATATGTTTTGTTGAAGTAGTTTATTTATATCTTAGGGATTTTTCTGTCATTGCTGCATATTTGCTTCCAGTGTTCAGTTTGCTCTTATTGATAAAATCACCAAAGTGTCAGCAACGTTGAGCCAGGAAGAGAGGTAGCTCTGAAACTCTGAGACAGCTATTCTCGTCTATTCTCTCAACACCAAAAACTTGCTTTGCACTGCTTCATTCGAGTGTTCCCTCCTCTTTGTGTTTCTCCTCCTGTGCACCGTGCACCAAAGTACTACACATGCGGTCGGAGCGCTGCTTGTGCCAGTTGCTGTGATACTATATATACTATAGTCTAAACTTGCCTTTCCCCATGTCAGAGTGTGGTGGTGGGCCAGACGCTCTGATGGTGCTGCTGGCAGTGGTGGGAAGCATCCTGCTGGTTGGAGTGGTGCTGCTCGCCGTCTGGAAGTTGGTCATCACCATTCACGACCGGCGAGAGTTCTCACGCTTCCAGAACGCACGATCACGAGCCCGATACGAGATGGTAAGCACGATCCCTCTCACCAGCAAAGTTTAGTTTTGTTAACTGCATCTACTGGCACAGAAGTTGTTGTTGTATAGCTTATAGTTTTCAAGTAGAAATATGAGACTTATAGACAAATGCAATAAAACGCAACAAATCGATGTCGCTCCTGTATAAATAGTGAGAGAGGCTATTCTAGCGCCATGAAAGCCTCCTGAAAATACTGAAACAAAACAGTGTTATTTTTGAAAATTCAGTCAGTGCTTTGGTTTCTGTTTTTAAATCTGTATCAGACAGACATTGTAATAACTAAAGCCCAAACCATACTGGGTGTTTTTAGTCTGATACCAACTTTGAGAGTTAAAGAAATCCAATAATACATCAACTGATACTTTGAGATTATTTTTACTCGTTGTTTGATAGACAATAGAAAGGAATCATGAAGAAAAAGAGAGAAAAATGACATGTAACAAAAGTCCCCGGCCAGGGAAGTTGCAGTTACTTGTTGTGTGTTCTTGACCAGTGGTGGTCGCAAAAGGTTCACGGAGGGGGGGATTAATGGGGGGGGGGGGGGTGATGTATTTGGGGGAGGGGGATAGTCAATGGCTGGCGATGTAGAGAAGAACAAAGAATACTTACACAGTAGCGTCCTATTATCTCTTTCACATGCAGTATAGGCCTATATCTCAGCATTTCATCTAATTAATTGGGTTCATTGTACAGTTTTGAATATAATATGAAATAACCATAAAATATGTCACTTAAGCAGGAGTTGTCAGTTTACTAAATAATAGAAAAGGTGTCCCTTAAGGAAGAGTGAAATGTTTTACAGTTGAAAAATAAACTGTAGACTATGTAATGGGGACATGATGTTGGAATTTCTGTCTTATTACTTGTTGCACAACATATATGCATATATGCTGATACTAGAGCTGCAGTGATTAGTCAACTAATCAACTAGTCAACTGTTTTGATAATCCCTTTGTTTGTGTTTTTAAGAAAAAATGTCCAAATTCTCAGATTTCAGCTTCTCCAATGAGATTATTCTCCGCTTTCTTTAGTCCTCTATGACAGTAAACTGAATGTCTTTGGGTTGTGGACAAAATAAGACAGCCATTAGCAAACAATGATCAACATTTTTCCCAATGGTATGACATTTTATGAACCAATGGACTAATCAATTCATTGCCAAAATGATCCAGATTAATCCATAATGAAAATAATTAGCTGCAGCCCTAGCTGATACCATTTTATCTGTGCTATGCTAATATGGGCAGAGGCAGTGTGTTAGAACCCTGTTCAAAGCTCTCATCTTGTATTCTTGTGCGTCTGTCTCTCACTCCCACAGGCCTCCAACCCTCTCTACAAGCAGCCCGTCTCTACACATTTTGTTGAAACAGATTTCAGCATGTACGAGAAGTCCTACAACGGGGGGGTCCACTGATCCCTCAGCACAGGGCTCGGCAGGACCGGTCCGACAAACAGATCCCTGGAGGACAGGCGGGGAGAGGGTGCCGAGGTAGACAGCGGACTGAACACAAGCTCATCCCTCTGCACGCTTCACAACTGATAAACAGAAGTGAAATTACCTAGACTGTGTCCGAGNNGGGGATCTGTGGCCTTTTTATCTTTACGGAGGAGATTCAAGCCTACCACAGAAACCTGATGTGACTTTTTCTTTTTTCTTCACCTGTGTGTGTCACTGACAGCAGCGGCAGTCGGTGGAACCAAGCATGAACTCCTTTGGTTTTGTTTAGAGCGAGAAAGAGAGAGTAGAGTTAGCGGTGAGTTTGTCTGCAGTTACACAAGATAAACAAACTCTCATGAAAACCATAACTCCCACCACATAGATCCCACAGTCACTCTTTGTACAGAGCAGGCAGGACATTGGCTTATATTTGTATATTTTTATAAACACAAAAGAAAATGCCTTTTTTTTAGTATAAACTATGCACCCAACAGGACTCTGAAGCATTAGCATATCACTCTGCAGCAGATCATTTCAGATTCACAGGATTATTAGAAAGCACATGTTTCTGCTATCAGACGTTGTGGTACTACTAACATTTACTAAGCAATAGACTTCTTACCTTCATTTTGCACAGAGAATATTAGGAGTCAAGTCTCGTAAAGATTGAAATTTCCTTTTGTGTTTCGTGTGTACGTGTGTGTTATTGTATGCTCCAATTGCACTCCCTTCTCTTAATCTGAATTGCAGGGTGCCAATTTACCCCCCCCCCCCATTCTCTGAACCCTGAGAGGATATGGCTTACATTTGTTGTTTTTGTTAATAAATCAAATGAAAAGACCAAAACCAACAGCGTGGTAGACTTCTGTAGGAGCCAAGCATACTCCTAAAGCAGCAAAAAGGAGCTCATTCTGTGATGATTCTGGCGGCCCCTGTGGACAAAAGCTGTCCTCTTTCTACTGCTTTGTTTTAATGATTTCAAGGGGAATCTTAGCTGGCAGGCATTAAGAATAACTCTATAGAAATAGCCAGTCTTCTCCCTGATGGTCCTTTTGTTTGTGTAGGTCATAGAGAGGCATCAGTATTAAACTGAAACCGTTTCATTACCAGTTGTAGTCCTTGTAGTACGTTTAAGTAAGGGGAATCACTGAGTTTGTTGGGGACTATTTTTAGCAGTGGATTAATACACACTCTAGGAGTTCTAGTGAGTATTTAAAGTAAATTTTTCTTTTTGTCTTTTCTCAAAAACATCAAATATTCTCTAGTTCCAGTTTCAGGAGTCAGCGCCAGAATTTGCAGATTTTCCCTGTTTTCTGTCGTCATAAAATGAATATCTGACACTCTAAAGATGTCACCTTGGGCATTAGGATATTGTGGAATCTATTTTTAAAGGTATTTTCAGACATTTGTTGACCAAATTAATCAAGAAAATAAGTAGGTTAATCTGTAAGGAAAATAATGGTTAGTTGCAGCAACATGAAGTTTGTGGACAGTGGAGCTCTGTGACACAGCGGAGTGAGAAATATCATGCTTTGGATACACACACACACACAGACACACACAATATTTTTAGGTGGATCTGTTCTTTGTTGGTTTTGGTCTTTTGCTTTGTTTTGTTGACAGTAAGAAAAATCTGAATTATCACCAGCCTCTGAACCCGTAAGACCTCACAATCAGAGACCACTTCATGTGATAAATACTGTATATCCAGCATTGTGGTAACTGCCTTAAAGCATTCTCATTTGATAAAGTACATTTGTGATCAATGGAAATGCAGAGTGGGTCACAGGTCTGACTTGGAATACAGACAGTACTTTGAGTACATGTAGATTTAGACACACAATATGACTGGCTGCTACATTTTAAAGTCCCTGTGAATCCGTGTCCACCCAGCTTGCACTGGGAGTGGGTGGAAACTTTGAGACACCTCAAAGGATAGTGTCCAGAATCATAAATCTTCCATCACTGTTCCCACAGGAAGAGGCGGAGTCTCAACTGTCACAGGGAATCTGACAGTGAGAAATGCTAGAGGGGTCAAGCCTGGGCGAGAAAGAAGGGTGCTCTGTAGCCTTTGGTGTGATGGTTGTACAGTAAAAGTGGCAGGGACTTGGAGTTTGTATGTGTAAGAGTGTATTTGAGTGAAAAGAGTGTATGTAAATAATATGGGTATGTATGTACATACAGTGCCAAATGAAATGAACATGTTTCCAGTTAAGGAGTTTTTGACTTGGCTTGGCTGTGTCTCGGCACAGTTTACTAAAACTCTTCCACCCACACTTTTTTCAGCTCAGACATAAATCTTTAATATAAAGTTCTTCCTGTACAGTTGTGAACATTTTCACATGGATGAACAGTCCACAAATGGACTCACACCACTACATGTTTATGTAATACAGCACACAGAGCAAGAACAATAAATTTGCTTATGTCAAAAGCCGGTGAGTCTGTTGTGTTTGGCTCAGTCGTACATAACACATTTACAAAGGTTGCATTAGAAGGAGTGGCATAAATCTGAGGTCTAATTTTAAACACTCTGCCTGTGTGCATATATGCACACTTCAAAGTTGAGTAAAACATCTGTTTGCACCACTAACCATCCCTTACATGTTTGATGTGTGATCACAGACAGTAAGGCTGGTCTGATGTGTCCTCTGATGCTGTAATTTACACCTCCTGGGTTAGACTCCTCCCAGATATGATAATCATTATGATACTGAAGCTTTTATAAAATATGATTACATATTCAGTCATTTCAAATGAACATATTGCTTTATCATTTGGAAGTATCGTGCCTCTGTAGGACAATTATTGGACTGATATTATTTGCAAATGTGTGAAAAGTTGTGACACTATCTCCATCAGTACGCTCATACTTGGAATTGTGAATATGTAGATGTAGATGTTTACAGATTGTGTAAATATGTACACAGATTTGTGAGTATGTACACAACAGTGTTAATACATACACAAATATGTAAATGCCTACACAGATCTGTGCATGAATGTATAAATGTATACAGATTTGTGAATTCATGTACAGAATTTTGAAATTTGTAAGTACCTTTGTGAATATGTACACAAAGGTGTAAATGCATATACCGATCTGTGAATGTGTACACAGATCTGAGGAACTCATTTAGAGATTCTTGTACACTTTCACAAATCTGTGTATGCATGTATATGGATTGGGATACAGTTTCACAACTTTCCACACATTTGCAAATAATATTATTTTAATAAAGACCCCATATATCTCGAATTTACATGTTTTAATGTGGGTTGTTGAAGTTCTACAATCTTTGATTTTCTAAAACCTTGGAAAACCCAGAAAACTGATTGAACACATCAACTGAGATCCTCTGTCTTCTCATACAATCTGTTATTCATGCAACAGTCTCCAGTAGCTCACAGGGGCCTCTGTAGCTTTTAATTGTGGAGGGTTAAGACTAACTCCTGACAGGAGCAAAGTACAGCTGTGATGTGGAACAAGTCAATGTTTGTTCTGTTATTCCTGCTTGAGGTGAGCTGAGGGGGGGGGGGGTTCTGATAGTTTGGTGCACAAAAAGAGGAAGTAAAAAAACCCTCAGCAGCTTGATGCTGATGACTATTGCTGTGCCGAGCAGAGGTCTGACCCTCAGTAACAGAATCAATGTGGTAATTAGCTGTTACTGAAATGACCCCACACACTGCTCTGGGGGATGAATTGAAAACTGATCTTTTCTAGGTACTCAATTATTCTGTTTTAGGGAACCAGACTCTTCAGTGTGAGTACATGTACTACAAACACACTTCCTAGTATATTTATGTTTATATTTACTGTGCAGTCATGACTCTTTCTCTGAGACACTTCACACAAATATCCTGCACAGCTAAACTAAAGCGGACTGTTACGTATGATCACTTTCCTCTATGGCAAATGGATACGCCGTGATTCCAAAATTCTACAAATTCGTAGTAGAGAAATTGTTCCCTGATGTTTGATGTTTAATGTTTAATAGTGTTTCATGCAACATGCTTTCAGTGTTGCCACAAGCCCAGGTCCCCCCTCTAACATTTTTCAAAGGGTAGCTGCTAATTTAAGAATAAAATGTGTCTATAAATCGTGTTTTTACCATAACTGTTTGCTATTTGGCAGATGGTTTTACAATTGGGGCTTGTTTTATTTTTTGCCATTTTGAGCAGTTACAGTTTCTTTATTTGGCTTCTTTCCTGTTTGATAAAAATTCCCTTTGCCATCCTTCCACTTTATTTACTCTACGCAGCATCTTTCTATTCACCCTGCGTTTTCAGCATCATTTCTCTTTTTGTGTTCCTCTTTTTGTGTTCCTCTAACCCTGACAGGCAATTTTAGAGGAATTGAAAATGAGGCGACACCTCGCCAAGTGCTATGTAGGTGCAGCTACTGTACTCTCATTATCTGTTTGCAGTGGAAATTCAGGAACTGGCAGTCATCAGTGACAGCTTTAGGATCAAGGTGGTAATTGTGCTTAGTAGTGGAAAAAGACACTCAAATCCTTAATCAAATCAAAGAGTTTTAAAGTAATCCACTCTTGCTAACAGAGTAACATCTAAGATGAGTCCACAGCCTGTAACCATCTCTGTCAGAGATAATCAGACTCATTTATCACCCCATCTTCACTGATGGAGTGTTACTCTTGCAGCAAGCGCAGGCGTTTGTTTCCCTCCACATCAGGAGGAAGGAGAAAAAGGGAGACGTGGAGCACTAACCTCTTTGTGATGTAAATGTTTTGTGTAAACTGTGGTTTAGTTCCCAGGTCTGACTGCAGAGATCGTTCAGGGAATGGGAGAGTTTCACATGAACCCCATTGTGCGTGTCACTCGTCCTCTCTGTTGGAGTCCACATGCTTCCATGAACACAACGCTGATGTGCTCTGACCTCACATGCCTCCTCTCACTGCACTGACACATTCATGCTTTGTGCATCACAACAGCTCTGTGAACCATGTAAAACAACATTGTCAGGAAGTCACAATGTTTTGACCTTTGACCTCCTCCTGCTGAATGCAGTTGTCAGTCTGATCTGAGGGTTTGCTGTGTTGTTGGACAGAAATACTGCCATAGCCGCCGTATTTTCCTTCATTTACCTGTTCAGCTTAGTTTTAATTGTGCATTTTTA